ATCACTCTGATGCCCACTACATTTCGAGAACCAGAGTTCTCGGCTTTCTGAATGAGGCTGGCTTCAGCTGATCAAGACTGTGGCTGCTTACAGGTCAATGTACCTGAGGAATCAGTGGACAGAGAACCACATTATCAGGCTCTCAAGGCCATGGCTTTCCACCGGACCCACCGGTAAGAAAACAAAAGGCATTAAATATTGATTCAGTGTCTGATAACAGTTCTCAGTACAAACCAGAACCCCCAGGCAGCATGGAAAGAAGAGGCTCACTCTCTTCCTCCTGGCACATCTCCCGCTCTCTCTTTTTGTATATTTAGTTCTTTGGACACAGGCACTGTGTTTCAATGTTTGGTTGAGTATGTGATGCAATACAAGCTAAATATAATCATGGAGATGCACAATCACCACATGCTTAGAATCCACAGCCATGAGACTCGCTACCTGCCCTAGTCCCTTAGGGCACTGACTCCCTCAGAAGGGCCCTGCCAGGCACCGCTCAGCCATTATTCAATGTGGCTCAAACACTTACATCCTATTAGGCAATGGCCCACATGGAAGATGGACAGCTTGTCAGCTGGAAACTTGCAAACCAGGCTGAGTCTTGGGAGGCACTTACTAGCATTGTGACCCTAAGACTCTCCATGTGCCTTGGTTCCCCATCTGTAGAATGGTAGTGATAGAAAAGGCGGGGCCTCTGGCTTGCACAACTCCAGGGAGCATCATTCAGGCAGAGTGTGGTGTGAGTAGCACCCCCTGGAGGGTGAGGGTTGAATGAATGATTAAACAAGAACCTCCTTTCCTGGTGCCTGCTACAGGGTGGAAAGTGCACCTTGAGTCAGGCAGTCTGGGGTTGAGTCCAGGGTCCCTTTCTTACTTACAATTTTGTGACTCAGGCAACTTCTTTCAACTAGAGGTATCTCTTTGATGCATCACCAAGAGCAGTGGCTGACACATAACATTTATGGTACACAGTATTTGTTGAAAGAATGAATGTACATTTATGACTCAATTGCTCTGTATAATGGGGACAATAATATAATTTACCTCATAGGGATAAGTTAAGATGAATTGAGAGTTAAATATTTTAATGAGTATTTTAAAAGGTCTGGCACAAAAGAAGGAATTCATTATATGTAGTCGCAACAACCATATACCAGGGAATAATTTGAAGACATTACAAAGGTTTTGAACCTGGAGTAGCATGTCCTGAGTCAGACTCCAGAAACAGAACTGTTCTAGATTATTCGAGATAGAATTTTCATTTCTATAAGAAACTGCAAAACCAAGGAAGAGAGAGAAAAACATGATGGTGGGTGCATGAGCCTGGCTGTATATTAGATTCACATGGGGAGCTTCTAGAAATTGGGTCAAGGGTCTTTAGCACATGTATTTTTTTCAACTGCTTCCTGTGATTCTAATGTGTAACTGAGAGGGAGAACTCTGACTTATGGGCACCTACTGCAAGCCAAGTTTTGTGTTAGATGTTAGACAAATACCATCTCCTTTAGTCTTCACAACAACACTACGTATTAGATATTTTATCCCCATTTCACAGGTGAGGAAATAAAGGATCAGAGACTAAAGAAAATCTCCAAGGTCACAAACCAGCATGAGGGTCCTAGCATGGAAACCTTACCCAGGGCCATCTGACTTTGAAGCTAGCACTCTTTTCACTGCTTTGCACTACCTCTGGATGGATCCTTTAAGAAGGGTATCAGAAGAGGGCATTAGGCCATGGAGAAGGAGACATGGGAAGGCCCAGGGACCGGCTGAAGTCTGGTCATGGGGACAAGGCATGGCAGTGTTGCCAGAATGGGGAGGTGAGGTCCTGAGTGGCCCACGTCGTGTCTCACCAGTCCCACGTTGGGCTGAGGCTGGGCTTGCGGAGGGCTCGCTGGCCTCTGCTTACGGCAGAGCCCAGCAGGATTGGAGAGTTTCAATGGGTCATTTATAGCCAAAAATGTGGGAGCTGTTTTCCTTTCAAAATAAATGATATTTCTTGGTAAAATGCCAAGGAAATTTCTGAAAGTGTCAGAAATGGAGTATCTAACTGTATTTCTAGCTAAGAAAGATTGGTCTTGTGGCAGTAAATGACAGCTCCCTAAGTGAACCAAATCCAGAATGCTCACAAAATGTCAGAGTTTGCATCCAAGACAAACCAGCCCTCTTACACATCTGTAATTGTGACATGGACTCAATTCTCTGTGGGTCTAGAGACTGAATTTTCACTATAAACACTGCTACCCCATAACTAACTATAAAACTTGAAACCCAAAGCTTGGATGGCAACAAACCCAATGTTTTTGTTCGTCTATAAGAGAATCATATTTTTCCCCCTTAAAACAACCTTCAAAAGTGATTGGGGGCAGTGGGTGGGGAAATAGCACTTTTTTTGGCTACAAATTCGGTTTGTTTGGTTCTCCTGGGCCCAAGCCACACATTGAGTTGGTCGGCCAAGGCGTATTTCAACAATTGGATAGTCAAATATCTAGACCTCGGGGAATAAAATCTCTGCACAGTTAACTTAATAATCGTATGAGCAGTTTGGACTACCATGTTTTTTTAAAATTACCATTAAATTATTGAGAAGTGATCTAATCTCTCTGAGAGTTTCCTCATCTATAAATGAAAGGGTTGGGGGGGGACCTTGATGATATCCAGCACAGAATTCCATGCTTCTCTGAAACTATTGATTGAACTGACTCTTTAGGTCAGAATTTAAAATAATGTTGTTATTTTTTCAGAAAAGTAAGTTATTTTTATTTATTAAAAGCCTGGTTTAATAGAATTATTTCCCCTGTTTTTGGGACTACTTTGATAGCCTCTTTATATGACAATGATTTTATAGTGTATCTGTCTATGTAGGGTTCATAAAGATAATTTAGTCTCTACTCTAGCATGGGTGATAGAAATTTATTTTTTAAAAAAGAAGCAAATAGCAGCAAAAAAAAAAATGTTTGGATGATACCAAGAGCGGTAAATGATTTTTTTTTAATTCTTATTTTGCATTGAAGTGTAGTCAATTTACAATGTGTTTCAGGTGTGCAGCAAAGGAGTTCAGATACATATATATATTTATGTATATATTCAGATTCTTTTCCATTACAGCTCATTATAAGAAGTTACAGTTCCCTGTGCTATACAGTATGTCCTTGTTGTTTATCCACTTTATACACAGTAATGTGTATCTGTTAATCCCAAACTCCTAATCTATCCTCCCTGCCCTTTCACCCCTCATAACCACAGTTTGTTTTCTATGTCCATGAGTCTATTTCTGGTTTGTATTTTTTTTTTTTTAGATTCCACATATAAGCAACATCATATGATACTTGTCTTTCTCTCTCTAACATACTTCACTTAATATCATAATCTCTAGGTCCATCCATGTTGAAGAGCAGTAAATGACTGAGAGAAAGGCATAAATTTCAGATGAAAGTAAGAAATGAATCTTTGGACAGATTGAAAATAAAATTAATAGAAGTGAAATATCTGACCACACTGGAAAAGATTTAAATTTCTTGCCAATTTGACAGAAAATACAGACATCAACTAAGATAACAAAAACTAATAATATGCCACTACAACTTGAGTGTCGGCAACCGACTATTAATGGGGGTCATTAAGGAGTATTTAAGATTAGTCACTACGCAAGAAAACTTGAAATGCTCTGAAATTTTATAGCTAATATATGAAAGAAACTCAGGAGAGAATTTCCCAAATTTGATAACAATCCTAAAAATATACCCGACATTACCATTAATGAGGTATAAAACTTAAAGAAAACTTTCCAAGCCATCTAAAATCATGTTTCTTAAATTAAGGACTGGGCTCCAGAGTAGGGCATAAATAATGTGTATTAGAAACAGCAGAGCCTTAAGAGCCAGCCAAACATGCATTCAGATCCTAGGATGTTCTGCCACTTCCCATGGAAACCATCCCTTTGAGCCTCAGGTTTCTCCTCTGTAAAATGGGAATAAGTGATAGTTACAGCATAGAGCTATTTATTGCGAGGATTAAAGGAGAGACTACTTAAATAGCACAGTGGTGCATAGTAGATGTCATGATGGTTATCCTGATTAGTGAGAGGGTCTGACTTCCTCAAACACCAGCATTCTCACTCTACTACACACTACTTGCATTTCAAAGATAAGCAATTATGTTGATTGCTTGTTGACGATAAGCAACTATGTTGATTCTTGTAGCAAATCCCATGGCAGTTTTAAAGTTGAGCTGCTGTAGTAAATAACTGGGCATTCTTGATACTTGAACATGGAATATGTGCACAGGGAAAGGAAGTAACATTGCACTTTATGAGCACTGTATTGTAAGTGGAAATTGCAATGTCTTAAGTAAAACTGTATTTAAAATTGGCACCAAAAAAAAGTCATGTAGAATAACATCCCTATGTTGAATGTATGCTTCTTACTGAGGTTTAGGGGGCTTATAACACCCCTTCCTTCCTCTTCCAAACCAACTGAGAGGTAGATGCGAAGTCACACACGTTGGAGATCAAAGTGATATTTTGCTACTTAGAAAGTTGGCTTGGAGGACATGGCTTAAGTGTGTCTCTCATGGATCCTGACACCCCACCTTATTTAAGACTCTGCACGGTTTCCCAGGACGGGCTGCACCGCCACCGCAGGCCATCCCCACAGGGACCCACTTCTCTAAGCTCACAGGCGCGGTTGCTGGGTGAGCCTCCCGCAGTAGCTGGGAGCACTGGGCTGAGTATGTTCAGTTCCTTCTCCTAAATGTGCCGTTTCTGGTAAGTCTGTTAGCCGAAGGAGGAGAGAGTGAGGGACAAAAAAACTCCTGGAAGAGAAACTCACAAACTTTTTTTTTTTCTCTTCTCTTGGGAAATGGAGTGGTTCATCCATTCCTTCTATGGAAACCCGAGGGCAGAAGGGGAGGAAATGTTCCCCCAGCTAAACATTTCTTATCTTAGATCTGCATGCTTCATGCTTGTCTGGAACTGTTGGAATGCTTTCTCAAATGAGAGAGTTTTATTCTCTGCTTTTTAATTCCTTTCAGTTGATCTTAGATATGAGAAGTTTATTGGGAAAGACTGTACACACAGAAAGATATACAGACAGACAGACAGATGACAGATAGAGACAGAGCTACATAGATAACTGACTACAGTGAATGTATTAGTTATCTCTTGTTGGGTAACAAATTACTCCAAGCACTGTGACTTAAAACGACAATAAATATTATCTTAACATAGTTTCTGCCGGTCAAGAATTCAGGAGCGGCTTAGCTGATGATTCTGGCTCAGAATCTCTCCTGAGACTGTAGTTAAAATGCTTCCCTGGGGACTGCAGGGCTGTCCTTTGAAGTCCTTTGAAGCTTGCCTAGGGCTGGAAGATCCACTCCCAAGATGAGTTACTCACATAGCCTTAGGTCGGAAGCCTCAATTCCTCGCCCCGAGGATCTCCCCTTAGGGCTGCTTGAGTGCCCTCCTGACATGGCAGCTGGCTTTCCCCAGAATGTGTGATCCAGGAGAAAGCAAAGCAGAAGCTGCAGTGTCTTTTTTGACCTACCTTTGGCAGCTGTACTTTGTTATTTCTACAAGGTCTCCTGAGTTATACGGCCAGCCCTTTTCAAGTGTGAGGGGCCCCTGCAGGTGCACGAAGACTGGGAGGTGGGGATAATTAGGGCCATCTGGGGGGCTGGCTCCCACAGCCGCTGACTCATGGAAGACTGGACATTGTTGTCTTCTCCTCTAGCAAGAGAATAAGTGAACCCCATCGGAGGTCCTTGAGATGTGTCACAGCTACCTCTTGCTCTCACCCCCAGGTAAAATATTACGAATCAGCCTTTTGTGAATATAGACTGAGAAAAGAAGACGCCAGGCAGGCTAGGACACCCTTTAGTACACAAATGTGGCTATGTGCGTTTGGGGGGTAGCACGTGACTCTCAGACGTTATTTTCTGAGCACTTGCTCTGTGCTCGGTATGGTTCACACACAGGATCACACTGCCTCCTTGCCCGTGAGGGATTTATTCTTATTTCCGTTTTACAGATGCAGCAATTCAGGCTCAGAAAAGGGGAGTAACTTGCCTATAAACGGTGGCAAGTTTGATTTGATCTTGGATCTGTTGAACTTTTTAGTGCTTCTCAAACTAAGACACATCCAAATCGCGGGGGGTGGGGGGGGTCCAGTTAAAGTGCAGTCTGTTTCAGTAGGCTTTGAGCAGGGCTGGGATTCTGCATAGCTAACAAGCTCCCAGTGATGGTGACACTGGTGAGCCAGGGACCTCTGTTAGGTGAGGAGGTGGCAGGAGCCCCTTTGAACGACTCTACCAAGGGTGAGGACTTCCCAGTAGTGCAGGACCTGGCACGACTAGCTGTCAAACAAAAGGGAAGACTTCTCTGCAGACAGCAGCCCCCTCTGGAAGCACCTCACCATTGTGAAATCAGCCGGTGGGCTTATCCCACTCACCTGGAAAGAGGGTGAGGGTTGGTTTGAGGGGCTCTACCAGGAGGCTAGGATTCCCAGCCATGCCCTTTCTGAAGTTTCCTTTTTCTGGGGCCGCATGCTCCTGTTGAGACTTTCCTTGGAGGTCCCTGAAGGCCACCTGCTTTGGGGGGTGCGTTTGGCACCAGGCAGGAAGCCATGTTTCCCAACCTCACCACACTCGGCTTTCTCAGGGAAGGCTTCCAAATTGGGGAAGGTGACGAGATTGGTGTGCAGGTGTTGGGGCGGCTGAAGAGGCACCCCCAGCTGTGCTGGGGAGCTCTGGTTCTCCCCTCCTTGTTTGTCCTCTGCAACTGTGGCAAGACCAAGCCTCTAAGTATGTGTAGTATCTCTCAAGGAGACAAGATAATGAGTATTTTTCTTCGCTCATCCATGAAGTTAACATATAATACATTCTTAATTGCATTTAGGAGCATTTATTCAATTGTGCATAACTAGTAATTTCAGAAAGGGCCCAATAATACTAATGTTATAGCACACTTGGAGTGCTTCGCTCTAAAATCTCTGAGCGATTCCTCAGCCTGGCTTTGGGGATGATATTGACACTCAGCTCCGGAAGCCAATCTCCTGAATTCTTGTGGACTCTGTGTCCAGCCTTCATTCACTGACCTTTAGTTTTCTAAGGCTATGACCTGGCGGTTTACTTTCTTTCATTTTCAGATCATTTCAGTCACCCACCAATGTGATTTCTAAACCATGGGGAGGAACTTGAGAATCACGTGTGAGTCACTCTCCATTTCATGGTAAAACTCCATTCCCTCCGCTGTCACAAAGCCCGAGACAGGGAGACGTCCTGTTGGGCATAACGGCTGGTCAGACAGACCCCGCCTGAGCTTTGCCACTTTATCAGCCATATAACCTGGGGGAAATGACATCACTTCCTACATCTTTGATTGCTCATCTGTAAAATGCAGGACGAGTTCGCAGGGTTGTTGTGAGAATTAGGTGACACAGTGCATGTAAAGCATTTAGCTCAGCTCCATGGTGCAGGTTCAGTACGTGTCAGTTGTTATTATTCAGTGACTTGAGGCTCCCAGTTTTTTAGAAATGATCACACCTTTGGAAACAAGGCAAGGAGATAGATGACCGTGTGCCTTTCAATACCATATCGGACTTAGGCCAAGAAAATAACAAAGCTCTGGGGAGAACCGAGTTTGTTCATGCTGAAAGACAAATATTTCTACCATTTTCTGAGGACTTATCTTATGTCTTTGTCTCCTCTTTGGAGGGGCTGCTCTTTTTAAAAAGTTTCTAAAATTATACTCTCATATTTCTGCACTAACCCCGCTCACCAATTATGGTATTAAAAATTGTCATAACTATTTTATAGTTATAATAATGCCCAGCACGATGCCAAGAATTTTTTGTGCGTTCCAATATCATAATTTCAACTATATACATGATATGTGACTTTATACTGCCCTGTGTGCTATCATTATTTTGCAGATGAGGGAACTGAGGCTCAGGAAATGTTTGTATCTCACCCAAAGTCATAGAGCTTGTGCGTGATGGTGCCAGAGTCTGAACCCAGGCAGCCCAGGTCTTGAGTGTTGCTTCCTAGCACAGGCCCATAATATAATCCTCGCTCCTAAGACTTGCTCCTATATTGTAAGTGATCCTAAAAATGAATTCTCAGAAAACATATATCAGGATGTGGCTGTGGATGTTTAAGTTGCTGGGGTTTCCTTCTATCTGGTTGTTCTTCAGAGAGGCATGTTCATATGTCTGGACGTCAATTGCTTTTTGGAGCAAGAACCACCCCCTTTATATCCATACGGGGATTTGCTATCCTGCCTACACTTTAAATTAACCTTATTGATGGATTTCCTGCCAAGCTTAGTTTCATTTATTATGCATGTTCCTTTTAGTAGGTGGAAGAAAAAATATGTGAGAATTATCCTCTAAATAAAGCAACATATAAGCCAGGCTTATAAATCTTCTAAAGTCTATTTTTACTTGCCAAGCTCTCCTGTACTTTTTTGAGGATAAATATTTATTTAATAAAAAGAAAAGTGATATCTTGAAATAAGGCTGTCTTAGTAGTAAACAAACAGGAGTGGATCTTTTTTCTCTTTCATTCATCATTGTCAGCTGAAGACATTCTCAGCCGGAAGCTAGGGGTGAAATTTATGGCGTCAAGGAGGGTGAGCCACTTCACTGTTTCCTCCTGAGCTTAAGAAAATTTCAGCCCCATATCCCACTCTTTCAGATTCTAAAATATGAAGTCAGATGATTGTATCTCAATAGTTGGGCCCAAGATTACTGCAGGTGCAGGGCTGCAAGTCAGGATGAAGATTCCCTGGAGGTGATGTGGGAAGTGAATGCTCGTGGGGAGTTCTCATCTTGGGATGAAACAATATGAATCAAGGAAAGGGGAATAAGTGAAAGCTACTTCATTTTATACTTTTTGACATTACCAAAGATAGTCAGACAATGCAGTTTGTCTGGAATACGCTTGGCTTCTAATGATTTGGGTGAAAGTATTCAAAAAAGGGACTTGCGTCAGTGGTACCCATAAATGACTACTTTATAACTGTTCTATCTAAACCAAGCTGGAATTAGGGGAAAGGGGAGTGGTTCCCCAAACAATTCACAGCCTAGTGGTTGCTTTAAATAGCTTGGAGCTCTAGAACTTTCTGTCTGACTGGGAAAAATAATGACCCAGCTGACCAGTTACAATATGTGGGTTTGTTCAGAGGATTTCTGATGGAATCTGTGATTGCAACCCTTTCAGACCCAATGTTCCCTTTTAGAACAAATGTTTGAATGACCTTTTTCCTATCCTGAAACAAAATTTATATATTATACATTAAAAATATAACATCCTGTTTTAAAAGGAGAAATAAAAGGAAAGTAATTTTCAATAAGAGATGTATCTCAATTTGCAAATACTCAGACAACTGTTTAAAAGATAATTAAAAAACCAAACAAACAAATAGAATCGTGACTCTCAAACAGATATAAAATGTGCCTATGGTAATTAACTTATCATGAGGAACCAGGCAAATGTTATAACCTGTTCAAGAGAGAAACCAAAAAATGGATACATTTATAAAGTAGTAATGTTGAAATAATGTACAGATGGAGGCAAAACTAGTTTCTTCAACAGTGGGGAAGAGAGGTTAATTAAACCTCTGCCAGACAGGACAGAACTTGGATGTCTACACACAAAAATTATCTTGCATTGTTATCACTTATCTGCATTTCACAGAGTTGTAGAATCGTTCCCATGGAATCAGAATCAGATAACCCAGAGTGGTGTGCTACAGAGAGTGCACAGTTTTCCACTGAAGTACGCATTTTCCCCTACACTGTCCTTAATGAAGCAATCATACATTTGCCGCTATAGGTAAAAACACCTGAATAAGGCATTGACACAGGCAGACTGACTCATCTGGTTGAGTAGTCACCCCAAATACATTGAGCAGTGATGCTTTCAGGTAGTTTCCGTAATGGAGACCGATTCTTGGTAAATTTCTAAACAAAGAAAGTTCACTCTTCCCTCAATTTACGCAGTACCCGAACTCCTAGAAAATTAGGTGCTTACTTAAACTGTTGGAGGACACTTTTTATTTGTGTGTATAATGGAGTTGGGTTCTAGGTTAAGATAAGTTATAAGTTTTTCACATACATGAATATCTGGCAGGACATTCAAAAGCTGCAGGGGATGTAGCAAATCCTTTATCGTGGAGTATTTTCCTGCACATTGACAGAGTCTACAATAATGGCCCTGTCCACTGAATATGAGTGGTACCCTCCAATCATGGAGCAACCAAAACAAAAGGTCTCACAAGTTACCAGAGTGTGGATGTGTAAGTTGGGGGATGGAGTTGCTCAATGGAGAAGCACTGTCATAGCTGAACTGTGTCCTGGGACCCATTGCTTCAACTCTGTTTCCAGCAACATCATCTGCTAAGCCAGGCAACTGTGGAGAAATGCAGAGGGCCTTTTCAAACAGAGTTAGGCCAAAGATAATTTTTAATTTGAAGAACTGACTCATCTCCTCTGAATCCCTTTAACTACTCAAGTTGAGAGACCAAGGGGGTCCCTCATTGAAAATAAATATCGATCCCCAGTTTATACACACTGGAGTTTGCTTCTGCCTTTCTGAAGAATTCTTGTCACATGACCTGCGGTAGAGGGTGGGGTAGGAGTGAGGGGCACAGATAGAAAAGGGTGTAAATGACCAAAGAGCTGGCCACTGAAGAAGGGAGGTGGTCCAGGAAGTGGGGGGACTGTGCACACTTGCCATGGCTCAGCAAGCAGTTGCTACACAGCCCAGTATTGCCAAATCTTCTGATTTTACTTTCAAAAGAAACAGGAAATCTGCCATTTTTATATGCAATTTTCCAGTTCTTAAATGTTGGCTCATGTATCTGTGTATGATACGGATAGATAGATCCGTACTTGACATACACACATATGTACATGTATAGGCATCACCATCCATACATACAGCTCCGTATAGTTACTTAGACTCATGAATAACGGCTACACCTTAGGTACTGACTGGGTTCCTCCTCTGAATCAGAATGGAAACTGGGAGCCTGGTATTTTACCCCCATTGCAGAGATGGGGGAAGGGGCTTTGCGAAGGTAAGTGATTTGCCTAGAGTCACACAACAGGTAGCCGGACTGGGAGCTGATGAGGGTTGTTCTGCTCCTGCTACCATGTCACGGCCTCAGCCCATGAGAAACCACAGGACAAACACTGTTCTGACACACACACACACAAAAGCATCAGGAATAATTTCTGCTGAAAACAGCTTTGATGCATATAAGTAAAATCGACATTTCTTAAAGCTTCTTGACCTATGTCTCCATCAGAAGGGTAGGGGGCTTTCTAGAGAAGGAGGAGTATCTGAGTTTGACGGTGTTTGCAAGTAAGCTGGGTGAGTCTTTTGCTGTGTTAGCCTGCCATCCATCACAGCTGGTGGTGAGCATGCCTGAATCCCTCGGGGTTGCTTGTGAAAAATGTTAAAAGCTTTAATTGAAAGGATCTCCAGCACAGGCCACAAGGAATTTTCTCATTGTGAATTCCTGTCTTGCCCCGAGATACCCTGGGGCCCCGCCAAATGCCAGGGCCAGGTCATTGTGATGGACTTAAGACACAAGCCCCTGGCAGGGCCTTTGATGATGCTCAGCTTGGAGCCCTGCGCGCCCCCAAGGGGGAGGGACGCATTTGGAGCGATGTCATCTGTCAGGATCTAACCTCTCTTCTGTGATGGTCTGCAAATTACACCAGCCTAATGGAAAATGGGGATGTTTCATATTTTAACTGTCTTGATGGGAATGCTCATATGATGAAAAAGATGAACTTGACTACCTAAAAAAGCATTTGTTATAACAAAGCAGCAGGGATTCCATCAGAAGCTTTTCATGAACTTCAGGAAAATCCTTTGCCGGTTTCCTTTCCTTTGTGCATTCACTCATTCATTCATTCATTCATTGCCCTGACTCAGTTTAGGGTGTGACCCCAGGCTTACGTTCTATTCAAATCAGTAAACATGTCTTCTTCCCGATCTAACTCTGGGAAGGTGTCCATGGGCTTTCCCACACCACCAAAGGGCAGCATGGGGCGAAGTGGTTAAGAATTGCTGAATTTAAGTCAGTGTTTCCCAAAGTCAATATACCTCACAATACTTCTTTTCTGTTTTATGGGAGGGAGGTAATTAGGTCTATATATTTATTTATTATTAGCTTGCTTCTTTTTTTTTTTAAATGGAGGTACTGGGGAATGAACCCAGGACCTTGAACATGCTAAGCACACACTCCACCAGCGAGCCATTGCCTCCCCACCCAAATAATATCACTCATACGTGGAACTTAAAAAAAGAGAAAAGAAAAAAGATTCTAATGAACTTATCTACAAAACAGAAACAGAAACAGACTCGCAGACATAGTAAACAAACCTATGATTACCAGGCAGAAAGGGATGGGAAGGGATAAATTGGGAGTCAGAGATTTGCAAATACTAACTACTATATATAAAATAGATAAAAAAACAAATTTCTTCTGTATAGCATAGGAACTATATTCAATATCTTATAGTAACTTATAATGAAAAAGAGTATGAAAACAAATATATGTATGTATATGACTGAAACATTATGCTGTACACCAGAAATTGATACATTCTAAACTGACTATACTTTAATTAAAAAAAAAAAATTGCCGAGTGAAATCGCTCACTCAGAAGCTTTTCAAACAAACAAATAAAAATCCTGCCCCTTTAAAAAGGTTTTTAATTACATCCTTAATGCATGCTTATTAAAGACAAAGTAATGAGAGAAAAGATAAACAAAAACAAAAGTCTTGGTGACCCCACTTAAAAACATGCGTGTGTTATTCAGGGTAAGTTACAAGAGAAGCTTTCAATTCTAATGAAATGTTCTCTGAACCCCAGAAGAAGTTAGGCAAGAGCTGACCCCCAAATTTGCTATATTCTTTTATTCTTACAGAGTCTGATCCACGGTGGTCATTCAGTTGCCTAAGCTCTCTGTGGATACAGTTTCTTTTGTTGGTAGATAAGACTGGTAAAACAGTTATCCTCTATATTTACAATAATATATAAATAGTTTAACAATTGCCCATCAATGTATACTCAGCTGAAAATCCAAAGCAATTTAGTACTGTCCTCTAAACAACCGTATATTGCAAATCATGTCCCATTATGTGGCGCCCTCAGGATGCTTATGAAGGGAGGCAGAGAATACAAATGTGGGAATGAAATGCAGGAAAGCACAAATTGTGTAAATGAAATCTAGACTGTTTCTGGGAACATAATTTCATGAATAAAGATGATCTAGCATCTCTGAACTATGTATTTTAAGACTAATATTTCTCAATAGTACTTGTCAAAGTGAGTGGCAGTAGAATCTATAATAAGTACTTTATTGAATTATAGTTAGTTTAAATATAAATGTAAAAAGGCACCATGAATTCTCATGTCAAATTATGTCACCCGAAAGTTAATTAGTTGTACCACAATTCAAAAAAAGGAATTCTTTTTAATTTGGCAGAATACAGGTTTGTGTTTCTAACAATTCAATCATTTTTTAAATTAATAGCATTCACTTTTTAAAGTAGTTTGAGGTCCACAGCAAAATTGAGCAGAAGGTAAAGAGAGTTCCCATATACCACCCCCAAAACACAACCACCCCACCATCAACATCCCAAACCACAACGGTACATCCGTTACACTCAGTGAACCTTCACCAACACATGATTTCACCTAGTGTCCATAGTTTGCATTAGGGTTCACTCATGATGTTGTATATCCCACAGGTTTTGTCAAATATGTGATGACACGCACCTAATTCCATCATTGTAGTACCATCCAGAATAGTTTCACTGCCCTGAAAATCCTCTGTGCTCCCCCTATTCGTCTCTCCCTCCCTCACAACCCCTAGCAAACGCTGTTTTTTTTTTAATTATCTCCCTAGTTTTACCTTTTCCAGAAAGTCATATAGTTGGAATCATACAGTATATAGGTTTTTCAGATCAGCTTCCTTCACTTAGTAATATTCGTTTAAGTTTCCTCCATGTCATTTCATGACATGATAGCTCATTTCATTTTAGTGCCAAATAATATGACACCACCTGGATGTACTGCAGTTTTATATCCATTCACCTACTGAAAGCCATCTTGGTTGCTTCTAAATTTTGGAAATTGTGAATAAAGCTGATGTAAACATCTGTGTGCAGGTTTTGGTGTGGACATAAGTTTTCAATTCATTTGGGTAAATACCAAGCCTCTTACATACCGGGCTGGAAACCGGAGGTCCTCAAAGGCATTAGTTTTTAAAGTTCTAGAAAACTAAAGTGCTGTGGTCAAAGCTTCTGTTGGTTATGTTATTGCTCAGCCTCTTCATCTCAAATTGAAATCAGAACAGACCAGCTCACTTTGGGGGACATTTTTTCTTTCCTTTTCTGAGCTTCTTTTTAGCATTCACTGAGCATTATTTATCAGGCAAGGCAAGAAAATACACTTTTTCCTCTGGTTTCTTGAGTCAAG